TTTAACACAATTATTGAATTATCAATAACTAACCTATTCTACCAAGGCTTGTTTTAGTTTAATAATATTTCTTTCTTTCTACATCCACAAGCAAGAATTTTATTTTCCCACTAAATCATTTTGGAAGAAGTGGAAAAGCACAAAGGGGGAAAAAGACTTCTCACAACCCCACCACAGCATGAGAATCAGAGCTCAAATTCACATGTGTATTCTCCTTCCTTGGAAGACCTTTTTTGCATATACTCAGTTATATTATCTTGCATAAAAAATAGATGTGGTCATACTACATAGGTTATTTATAGCACTAGGGGGAAGCTATTTTCTCTTTCTCATTGGGATAAATGTGTATAACAAAATCTACCATTTCAACTATTTTAAATTTTCAGTTCAGTGGTTCCATTAAGTGATTCACATTGTTGTGCAATCTCTACCACCATCCATCTCCAGAACTTTTTCATCATTATGAACTGAAACTCTGTACCCATTGAGCAATTACTCCCCATTCCCTCCTCCCCTCAGACCCTGGAAACCTCTACTATGCTTCTGTCTCTCTGAATTTGACTATCCCAGGTAACTCCTATAAGCAGAATCCTATAGCATTTGCCCTTTGATGTTTGGCTTATTTCACTAAGCATGTCTTCAAGGCTCATTCCTGTTGTAGCATGTACCAGAATGTCCTTCCTTTTCAGGGTTGAATAATGTTTCACTGTATGTATAGACCACATTGTGTTTATCCCCTCATCTGTTGATAGATGTTTAAAAAAATTTTTTTGAAGTGTAGTTGATTCACAAAGTCAATTTCAGGTGTACAGCAAAGTGATTAATTTACATGGTTTATATATACACCCCCCATATATATATATATATATACACATACATACACATTTTCTTTTCAGATTCTTTTCTATTATGTTATTACAAGAAATTGAATATAGTTCCCTGTGTTATACAGTAGGTCCTTCTTTATCTATTTTATATACAGTAATGTGTGTCTGTTAACTCCCAACCCCTAATTTATCCCTCCCCTGCCCTTTCCCCTTCGGTAACATTAGTTTATTTTCTATGTCTATGAATTTGTTTTTGTTTATAAATAGAATGTGTCATTTTTTAAAAAGATTCCACATATAAGTGGTATCATATGATATTTGTCTTTCTCTGTGTTGATGGACATTTGGGTTGTTTCCACATTTTGACTCTTGTGGACTTATTTCAAGGGCTAAAATTTAAAGAGATTGACCACATCAAGTGCTGACTGCATCACAGAGGAACTACAATTCTTATACACTGCTGGTGGGAAGGCAAAAGAGAACAACCACTTTAGAACACAGTTTGGCATTATCTTAAAATGTTAAACATCTACCTACACTGTAATAGTTTGAGTTATTAACACACAGGAAATAAAACATATATCCATATAAAGAACTGAACCAAGTCTTTAAAGCAGCTTTATTTGTAATACCCCAAACCAGGAAATAATCCAACATCCATAAAGAGAAAAATGGATAATCAGAGTGGTTACACATAGAAGTGACTACTCAGATATAAAAAGATTTAATTACTCACATAAGCATCATTGCTGAACCTCAAAATAATAGTGCAGCACAAAGTAAACCAGTTAAAAAAAAAGTATACATCTTATGATGCCTATTTAACATTACAGAAAATGCACGAGGGAGGGTAACAGCTCAGTGGTAAAGCACCTGCTTAGCAGGCACAAGGTTTTGGGTTCAATCTGCAATAAAAGATTAAAAAAAAATAAAGAGATGCCTTCTTTAAAGAAAAATTATAGAAAATATAAATTAACCTACTAAGCAGGAAAGTAAATCAAGGAACCAATGATTGTCTGGAGGGCTGAGGAACGTATGGAATGAGACTCTAAAAAGGCATGAGGTTAGTGTGTGACAGATAAATTCATTTTCACGATTGTGACGATGGTTTCACAGCTTGATACATATGTCAAAGCTCATCAATTGTGCACATTAGATAAGTGCACTTCGTGGCACGTCAATTATATGAACTGCAGTAGTCCCTCAGCATCTGAGGGGGACTGGTTCCAGGACCCACCGTGGATACCAAAATCTGTGGATGTTCTAGTGCCAGTCTGCCATTTAGACCTGTGCTTCCAAATCCACAGAATCAACAATCTATGAACTGTATAGTACTGCATGTATTTACTGGGAAAAAAACTATGTGTTACTGGACTCATGCAGTTCAAACCCATGTTGTTCAAAGGTAACCTTAATCCTTGATAAATCTTAATAAAGTCCTAAAAAGTGGTTCCAAATAAAAGCCTAGGTGTCCCAGTTTCCTCAGAATACTAGGCTGCCAGTGCTGTATGGTCTCCGCCATCTCTCCTTCTATCCTGGGAGGTGCAGCCTTGTCTTGGTGGCAGCAAATGTGGGCAAGCAGTGGAGGCTATTGTCACTTGAATCAACAAGACTGCTGGCTGGGTCATCAAAGACGCATCCTTGGACTGCAGGATAACCCTTCCCTCTATCCTTGTTTTCCTGCCGGTAGAGCAATGGCCTTGAGGAGACAGCTGGAAAGACTCCCAGAATCCACGAACCTCACCTACAGAAGACAGTCATAGAGGCCCTGAGAATTTCTGTACACATTTATCTCAGAGGATGCAGTCACTGGAACACCTGTGGATGAACTTTTAGAAGAGGCATACTCCATGTAGCTTACTGTAGTCTCTCCTCTCCCTATTAATCCAGTGTTTCTGCACCAAGGAAACTGAACCCTCCGAAAACTGACTTCCCCTGTCAAGTTTATGATCAACATCTCTATCCAAAACTGTATTCCCTTTCTTGTCCTGCCCGTTTCCCTCAGGACTGAAAAGTATCAAAGAAAAGCTGGATCCTGCAGGGCCCTTCTGGGTACAAAAGTCCCTGCACATCACCTGTTTGTTTGTAGAAAAGGCTTTAATCTCCTAGGCCTTCCCTGATTTCCAAAAAGCAAACTCAAGCAGAGCCTAATTAGGGAAGTGAGGGGATGCAGAAACAAAAGAAAAGCAGTCAAGAAAGAAAAGTAATGACAGCTTAAACAACAGTGTGGCAGTAACAGTCCTAATTCCTCCTCAAGGGATACACATAACCACCTGACCCTTATCTCTGGGCTGTTCTGCAGAAACTAAGGCTGGAGGATGGGGACTACACACTGACCACAAGAATGCAGACCCCAGGTGGGCTGGAACCAGAGGTTGATGATTAAGGTAACTGAAGTATCACCCTGCTACCTCAACACCAACCAGTCAGAAGGAATTCCATGAGCTGCAACCTTCACCCCAAATGTTGCCTTTAAAAACCCTTCCCTGAAAACCATTGGAGAGGTAGGGTCTTTTGACCATTAGCTGCCCATTGTCCTTGCTTGGTGCCCTGCAATAAATGCTGTACTTCATGACAACCTAGTGTCAGCAGACTGGCTGTGCTGTGCACGGGCGAGCAGATCTGATTTTAGTTCAGTAACACCAATTATGGTTCTGATTCTTACAGTCTAACAACAAATGTCATAGGCTATGAAAATCTGTATCGTGGCACATGGCTCCTTTACAGGACCTGAGGAAGAGGGCCCCTCAACATTTTTGGTAATTACATAATATACACTGTGAACAAGGGAATAAAATTTGTTGTTCACAGAAACACTGGGGGTTCTCACAACAAAGCGCTCTTCTTTAGGGAAATTCCTGACTTTTCAAAAATTCCTGGCACCAGTCCACAAATGAGGATCACAAAGCCCTGCAGTCCTTCGTTCAAGGCCTTGGGCAGCAATACAAATTAGACAACTGTTGGACCAAGAGCTATTTCCTGCCATCATACAGTCCCTCCCAAAGCACAGAAAGTTTGGGATCCCCACAAAATCTGTTCATCCCTACATGCTAACAGACCGTAATTATACTTCAAAATTACCCCCAAAGTGGTGAATAGAACCACCAAAATTAAAGGTGCAAAAACATTCCTTTATGAAAAGATCAGAGCAATGTGCAGCAAGCAATTTCTAAGCTGGTGAATTAGAACTGGGGAAAATTCATCACAAGCATGATGCTTGAATAATGTCCCTGAGAAAGGCAGTCCTTCTTAGCAAGCTGAGGACAGGTCCTTTGGACCTACACTGGATCAGGTCCATTCCCTAAAATCAGAAAAGAAAGGAATAAGACCTAAACAAGCAATTCTCCAAGGAAGAAATACAAATGATCAATAGGCACATGAAAAAATGCTCAATATCACTACTTATCAGAGAAATGCAAATCAAAACTACAATGAGGTATCACCTCACATCAGTCAGAATGGCCATCATTCAAAAATCCACAAATGACAAATGCTGGAGAGGCTGTGGAGAAAGGTGAACCCTCCTATACTGCTGGTGGGAATGCAGTTTGGTGCAGCCACTGTGGAAAACAGTATGGAGGTTCCTCAAAAGACTAGGAATAGACTCCCCATATGACCCAGGAATCCTGCTTCTGGGCCTATATCCAGAAGGAACCCTACTTCAAAATGACACCTGCACCCATGTTCATAGCAGCACTATTTACAATAGCCAAGACATGGGAACAGCCTAAATGTCCATCAACAGATGACTGGATAAAGAAGATGTGGTATATTTATACAATGGAATATTATTCAGCCATATAACCTGACAACATAACGTCATTTGCAGCAACATGGATGCTCCTGGAGAATGTCATTCTAAGTGAAGTAAGCCAGAAAGAGGAAGAAAAATACCATATGAGATTGCTCATATGTGGAATCTTAAAAAAACAAAAAACAAAAAACAAAAAAAACAGAAACAGACTCATAGAATACAAACTTGTGGTTGCCAGGGGGACAAGGGGTGGGACGGGACTGGGATTTCAAAATGTAGAACAGATAAACAAGACTGTACTGTGTAGTACAGGGAAATATATACAGGATCTTGTGGTGGCTCACAGCAAAAGAGAATGTGACAATGAATGTATGTATGTACATGTATAACTGAAAAATTGTGCTCTACACTGGAATTTGACACATTACAAAATGACTATTACTCAATAAAAAAAGTTTATATAAAAAAAGTTTAAAAAAAAATGAAAAGAAAGGAATGAGGATGCTGCTGAGGGCCTGGGCTATTCATAATTCCCCCAAGCAAAAGGGAGAACACGGAGGTCAGCTTCCCTCCGTGTTCGTGTGGTGACTGATGCACACTGCGTAGGTGTGTCAGGCAGTAGAGGTGAAATGGCTCCAGTACAGAAACTAGCAGTGACATAAATCTAGCAGCAGCTCTGGGCAGGTAGAAAGTGCAACACACCTAAAGCCTCACACATAACTGAAGCTTATGAGGAATCCTGCACAGTCTAAGTCTGAATAAAAGTGGGTTAAATAAAGGTAAATGGCTCACAGTCTCCCCAAGTGCTGTTATACTGAGTGAGGAAATAAAACCACCTCTGCATACTTAAGGCTTTTCTCCAGTGTGAATTTTCTGGTGTCTAAAGAGGTTAGATTTTCACTTTTAGGATTTCCCACATTTGCTACACTCATAAGGCCTTTCTCCAGTATGAACTCTCTGATGTTGAATAAGGACAGCACTATGGCTGAGAGATCTCCCACATTCCCCACATTCATAAGGCTCTTCTCCAGAATGAATGCTCTGATGTTGAATAAGGCCAGAGTGTTGTCTAAAGGATTTCCCACACTAACTGCACTCATAAGGTCTTGTGCCAGGATGCATTCTCTGGTGTTGAACGAGGTCAGATTTACGGATAAAGGATTTTCCAAATTCTCTGCACTCACAAGGTCTTTCTCCAGTGTGAACTCTCTGATGCTGAACAAGGATAAATTTGCGACTAAAGGATCTCTCACAAACAGTGCACTCATATGGCCTTTCTCCAGCATGAACACTCCGATGTCGAATGAGGCTGGAGAACTGTCTAAAGCAATTCCCACATTCACTGCACACATAAGGCCTTTCTCCACTGAGAATTCTCTGGTGCTGAATGAGTTCGGATTTGCAGCTAAAAGATTTCCCACAATCATTACACTCATAAGGCTTTTCTCCAGTGTGAATTCTCCCATGTCGAATAAGGTTAAAAATTTGTCTAAAGGACTTCCCACATTCGCTGCATTCATAAGGTCTTTCTTTAGTGTCAACTCGCTGGTGTTCAGTGAGGTTGGATTTGTAGCTAAAGGACTTCCCACATTCACCACACTCATAATGCATTCCTCCAGCATGTTGTGTCTGATGGTGAATGAGTTTGGATTTGTGGATAAAGACTTTTCCACATTCATTGCAATCATAAGTCCTTTCTCCAGTGTGAATTCTCTGGTGTTTAAGGTCAGAGGTTTAGCTAAAAAAATTTCCACATTCATTACACTCGTATGTCCTTTGACCAGCATGAATTTGCTGGTGCTGAACAAGTCTGAAGTTGCAGTTGAAGGCTTTCCTACTTTTGTTACACTTGTAAAGCTCTTTTTCAGAGTAGACACTCCGATCTTGAACAAGTGTGTGGTTGCAGGTGGCAACTAGTTCACATTCACCCTGCCTGTAACGACTCTTCACTGTGAAAGGCCTTCTCACTCTCACTGCCATTCTGTGGCTCCTCACTGTTGGGAATGGCCTGGCACTGGAGAAGGCCTGAGCTGGCCGAGAAGTCCTCCCCGACCTCCTACAGGTGAAAAGCTTCCCTGACATGAAGAAGCTACAGCTCCTCACACATGAGGACCTGTCCACATCTCTCTTCCAGGGCTCCTCTCCACTGTCATGCTTCTGTTGCTGGTGAAGGTCTGCAGCGAAACAGAAGCATCTCACACATGGGACACCCAAGTACGGTTTCTGCAAAGGGTATATTGTTGCGTGCTCAGCTTGGTGCAAAATATCTTTGAAGACTGGGATGCATATCTCACAGGGGTGGGTCTTCTGGGTGGGTGGACCTGCCTCAGACGCCCTGATGTGAGATTCTCCTTCTACAGATAAACTCTGCCCAGAAGGGGTTTCCTCATCTTGTTTCATGTCTATAACCTGAAAACAGAGAAATGCTGAGGAAATGCATGTTGACCCTGATGGGAGAGGCAAGCCCCATTACAAAGGTGCATCAGACACAACAAGGAATGAGTTTGTTCCTTGAGTTTGTTCTAAGAACAAGGGGGCTGGAGCAGGCTGAAGTGGCTGCCTGGCAGCAGAGGGCAGGCCTATGAAGATCACAGAATAGGGGAGACCTCACCAGACCAAGGGCCCAAGGATTGGGTGCACCACATGGAGCAGAGGCAAGGTGTCTAACTCATCCCTCTGCCAACAGCCTTCATCTAAGGTGTGATGTGGGCATGCTGTGAGGAAAGCTGGTTATGTCCTGCTCTGGTAAATTTCCACTGGAACCAAGTAGCTGGTGTCCAGGGACTACTTAGGGATATGTGCACACCTCATGACACATGTGCAGGTCAATACTGCAGGTGTTGCAGTGCAGAGGAACAGGTGACCCACAGAGGCCACAAAGGTTAAGGCAGCCAGGAGCTGGAAGGCACCAATGCAAGGACAAGGCAGCAAAGTGTCAAGTATGGGGAAAAGGCAGAAATGAGGTGTGACCAGTGGCACTTGCACCAAAACACTACTGGACACAGGGCAGGTTCCTGGTATGATCTGAACATAGTCATGCTATCATGTCCCCCCTCAGATGCCACTCACCCGGCCCAGGCCTCCTCTTCTCTGAGGCCATCTCATCATGTCTACTCTGTGAAACAACCAAGGTTCTTCCTGCACCCTCCATTGTGCAACTACTCAGAACCTGAATGATACAAGTCTTCATGAAAGACGGCATAGCTGAGTGGTCAGCACTGGCCCAGAGCAGCTCAATATATGACAGCAGTCAGGAAAGAAAACATTACACACAACTGAAGAACGCCGTACAAGGACTGCCCAGAGTTCATGTACGTAATGACCACGGCCTGGCACAGGCAGTCACACAGAACTGTTAGCGAGAGAAAGAAGCCCTGGAGGCCACGGATCTGGACAGTCACTCCAGCAGGGAGAGGGCAAGCCAGGTGGGATTCACTGAGCTGCCTGCAAGACTCCTGACTCCCAAATCATTCTGCACTTTCAGAGGCAGCTGGGCTAGGGCTGCCTGGGGAATCCACTGCTCAGGGCACTACACACAGTTCCATGATGGCACCCACAGCACGTCTGACAAGAAAGAGAAGGAGGGTAGCAGAGCCCATGGTCCAGCTGAGGGAAAGACAAAGTGAACTGAGGGAAAAAAGGAAAAGCAGGACATCATCTCAGGACACTAAGATGGGTGTGACGGTCTTACCCAGCCACAGCTCCTCCTGCCCTACACCATAATCACCTCCTTAGCTTCCCTAATCATTACCAAGCACAAACGGTCCACAGAATGCTTGGCAAAGTCAAATAGGATCAAATACTACCCGAGATGCTGATGATCCCCATTAACAAAGGCAGCCCTGAGTCCTGCCATGAAGGCCTCCTTCCCTGCTTCAACCTCACCTACCCAGAACCATATCAGATCTCAGGTACCCATGGCCCTCTGCCAGTTGTGCTGCATTTGATGAATCCTGACCAGTCACAGCTTTCCTCTCTTCTCCTAACCCCCATTCAAGGCCCAGTGCCTGGCCCTCTACCTCATCTGTGAGTCTCCCAGATGACCACATACATCTCCAAGCTAATCCACCAGCCTGACTACAACATCCCAGGTCCCACCAAGGGTTACAACAAAATCCTGGTCAGTCTGTAGAGCAGCGATTAAGCACCAGCTTGTTGAATTCCTCCTGATGATGCCTCCACAACCATCTTATGTCCACCGATCCCTCAGAGGCCTTGCCCACATGCCAAACTATAACCTTCCCCATCCTCCCCACGACCACTTCTCTCACCTGTGTTATGACACCCACCTCCCACAGCCAGGGGCCCAAGCAGGAAACCTAGTCCTCAGGCCTACCCTCATCGTCCTGGGCTACTATTAATCATTATCATCCTGACCTGGATTCCCCACACTAAAGTGATCTACAGGAGGTGGGGTGTATAGCTCCAAGGTAGAGCACACACTTAGCATGTGCAAGGTCCTGGGTTCAATCCCCAGTACCTCCATTAAAAAAAGAAATAAGAAGCTCCTCCCTGGGCCACACTCTCTCCATTGCCCTTTGGATAAGTCTCCATCCCGAACTCCTCCTCAGAGTACTAGATGCCCAAAAACTGCTCTCTGAAAGATCTCATATCCTTAAGAGGCCAAATATAAAACTTCTGATATCCCCAAAGAAAATTACTCTTACTGTGGACTTCCCTGTCTCACCTGATGGAGCTTCCATCCTTCCAGAAGCTAAAACCAAACCTTCACTTATCCCTGACTCCTACCGTTCTCTCAACCTCAGAATTAGAAAATTCAGGTTTCTATACCTAACACACCAAACCAGCCACTTCTCCCACCTCCACAGCCACCACCTTGGTCAAACTACCAACACACTCACCCAGACCACAGCAGTAGCCTCTTTCATGGTCTCCCCACCACCTCCCTCACGCCAATGCTATTCTCCATGCTGCACCCACAGGGAGCCTGATAACACCGGAGTCAGATCACCTGTCTCCACTGCTCCAGATTTTTCATTGCTCCCATCACCTCCAGAAGGGACACTCAATTTTCCCAAAGTTGTTCCAGACCTGACTCCTGCTCCACTCACTGCTCCCAGTTTCCACGAAAAAGAAAAGATACCCGCAGGTCCCTGAACCAGCTCAGCCTCCTCTCCAGGCCTTTGCGCATTCTGGTACCTATGTTTGATCTGGTACCTTCCACATCTCATTCCACTGGTTGCCAAGAATAAGAACCACTCCATATAAGCCTGGGCCTGGACTTAGAACCCTGGGCCACTCCACATGACCCTAGGCCTCATGTTTGTTCAAGGTCCCTGGGTCCAAGGGCTGAAAGAGTGGCGCAATAGTACAGAGACAGTATTATCCCGGAGACCATAGGGTGGAGTGAGGACTATTGAGGCCCGGAAGGAAACTCCACAAACCACAGTCCCTAAGATATTCTGCAGTTACAGGAAACTGTGCGGAAAGGGAGGTCGCCTGAGAGCCTGGCAACCACAGCCAGCTTCCATGGGTTCAAGCCACTAAACACTCTTGCCCAGCCCAGGTGCCAGCTGAGCTCGAGGTGTCTGCATTACCTCGGGACCTCCGTCCTCCGAGCAGACTCCTGCCAGTCATGTAATCTTGTACAGGAGTCGACCTTCCTGTACCTAAATATTATTGCCACTCTGCTCGTCTGCTCTTCCTCCGAGCAGCATTTGGTAAACTTTTAGAAGCCTATCTCGGTGTCACTCTTTTGTTCACCCTCCCCTCTCCCCGAAAATGAAAGTAAAAATCCTCAGGCACAACGTCGCTTCGAATTCTTTACATCCTGCAGACTTAAAA